CCCAAACCATTCTATGATTCTATGAAGAGGACACACTACATTCTGAGCTGGGGAGAGGTAGCCACCAGATGCCGTATTATAATGACAACAAGATCTGCAGGGAATGAGTGCCTGTCTGGATAGACTGTTTGATTTGGTCTCTTTGATCGAGCTCTGTCCCTCAGAAGGACTTACTGGGGGCCTATTATGAGCCAAGAAGGAGGGTGATGGGGTGTTTGATGGCATAAACAGACACTCCCAGCCAGAGATACACACATCTGTTTAGGAAAGCAACACATTTTCAAAAGCATTCTCCCCTGTCTGAATTAGGTAGGAAGTACAAGGATTGAATGTCTCTTTCATTTCTGAAAGCTGAATTACTAAGAGCCTCAATAGTTTAACTGAATCACAGTCCACTGAGATCCTTTCAGTCCAGCAAGAGCTGAAAGCATACATTTCTAAATATTTATAAGGGAGGTACTCCCTCTAGGTTCATCTCCAACAGCCGCTTCCAACACTTGCTCTTCAAATGGCCAACTCTTCCAGAACTGTTTCCTGCACATCCATCTGCTCACTTTGTTCAGATAAGCATGCATCTCTCCTGCTAGCCATGTAGTACTGACTTCTCCCTGCTGCCGGCATGGTTAGTGGGGATGCGCTGCAGAATCTTTACTGCGAGTGTGAGTCACAGAAGGAATCCAGCTGGGTATCTGCAAGCCCATTTGGGTTTATGAATTACCAGGATGTAGGAGACTTTCTTTTCTTTTAAACCAATCCATGAAGTAAGTCCAATATGGAATTACTGAGTTAATACACATGAATAGACTGCCTGTCATTTTTCAGAGGGTCACTTCTATAACTCTTAACTGGAAATACAAAGTAATAAATGAACAGACAGACTGAAATCCACCCCCACCTTGTTGGTCCGAAAGGCAGTTTCACAGAACGTGAAAGGCTGGATCAGATTGGCAGTGTCCAGAAAGCTACTGCCACTGCTGTACACGCTACTGGTCAGCAGATAAACAAAGCAATTCCATCTCCAAGGCTGTGAAGCCAGCAGTAAATTTACACAGCCATCTTTTTAATAGCCTTGAAAAATAAAGGCAAACAAGGTACAGTCATTTCAAGCTCCTTTAGAAACAGAGTGAGAAAAAAAAATGTTTGACAAATAGGAAGGGACAAATTCTGGATAAGGAAATGCTGCTAAGCTTTTAGAAACATATGTGGTTTTTAACTGGAAATCAAATAGTGAGCAACCAGAGACCTTTGAAATACCTATGCATTTTAATGGCAGGAGCTGTTAAAATATATTGAGAGTCATCATCAAAGCAAATGGGACAAAGCTGTCATTAGTAATTACTGCGTCACTCACCCAAACATACTAGCAGTGGGGCTAGTTCTGCAGTCCTTGCTCAACACATCCACACCATCAAGCCTCTACTGGTAAAAGCCTTTTTATGATTGTTCCCAGTTAGCTATTTAAGCTTTAAACATGTACTTGAGTTAGGAATGTGTTCTGCCCATGTTAACTGATCATAGACTTGAACTAATTTATGTTGGAAAGAATCCCTGAAGGTCATCTAGCCAACCCCCTGCTCACGGAATGTAAAGTGAGATACAGAGAGGGTGCAGGGCTTACTTTAGGGGTGCAGAGGAGGATGATCAAGAATTGTATCATATTTCTGACCTCACATCATATTCTCTCAGCTACAGGCTGCAGTTACCATGCAAAAAAATGAAGTCTGGCTGTTCATTGGTGACACCCGAACTGTGACGACTTGGATTTCCAGTAGCAGCGAGTCTCCTCCTTGCCAGAGACATACTGACCACCTGCCATGGGAAATTTCTCTCCGTGCCCTGGCACTTGACATTGCCAGCCTCTGAACTGATCCTAGCAGCAACATCCTGCCTTCCTTCCTTGTTCCCCAAATCATGTCATTCCCAAAGCTGCCCTGGGTTGCAGCAGCAGATGGGCTTGTGGACAGCAAAACTTTCTTAATTTTCCCAAAGACTGTGACTGCACCATGTCCTATTCTTGTCAGTGTTCCACAAATCTTTCTTAATGCCCAGTATGCCTAATGACATTTAGCCCACCAGAGTAAGCACTACAGTAAGCCATGAATGGGGCTGTAAACCATGTCTCAAGGATCTCTCCCTTTCCTCTTTATTTCACTCCTAGTTGTGAGAAACTCATCATGGGGATTTTCTTCAGCTCCTTGACATTTATGCAGCAATTGTCCATCAGCACAGAGTCCTGAGCATGCTGTTTCTTCACTGTGTTTACCTTTTTCTTTAGGAAGTCATCAGAACTTGCCTCTCGGGATGAACTTGTGTTGCAATACTTTGCAGGAAGCACACAGCCTAGCAGACATGTTCCCCATACAGGTCTCTGGTTTGCTGGCAGCACATTCCAACAGAGCAGAGCCTTTTGTTGTTTCCTATAGCAAAACTCTATACAGGACCTCCTGCATAAAAGGAAATTGATAGATTTGTAAATCTAACAGCCTTGGATTAAGACAAATACAAAAATTGATCCAATTTAGTCCCTTTTTTCCTTGTCAGTTGACTGTTTGACTGCCTTTTTGCACTTTCCTGAGCTCCAGCCCTCAGTCTGAGAAATGATTTTACTACAACCTAAGCCAGTTGCTGCTGCAAGACCAGATAGTGTTCCCACTCTGTGGAGGGATGTTTATGTTCTCACTCTCTCATTCTGGCCCCCAGAACAAACACGATCCCTTCACTTTGCAATGCCAAAAATAGAAGCATTCGTATTTAAATCACAAACAATCGGGTTCGGTGAACAGTCGGGTTTGGCACACAATCTGTATGACTGCACCCTTTCTGAATCAAGGGTCTGAGTTATTTCCCTCACTTAAGCTGCTCTCTTCCCCATACAGATTGCAGGAGCAGGGAGAGATACGGCAGTAATGTTTCCCTGTCTGTCTGTCTCCCCCCCTCCATCCCCAACCCCTGCAGCCTGCCTGCTCCAGGCCGAGCTGGTGAATTATGAGCGAGTCAAGGAGTACTGCCTCAAAGTGCTTCAGAAAGAAGGCGAGAACTTCAAGGCGCTCTATCGATCAGGAGTGGCATTTTACCACTTGGGTGACTTCAACAAGGCCCTCTACTACCTGAAAGAGGCAAGATCCCGCCAGCCAACAGGTATGGAGGGGAGCAGGGACATGGCTTGGCATTGAGCACTTTTGCATCTCTTTTCACAAGACTTAGTCTGTCTCTGACTTGATTGCTTTGATTTCCACAGGGATAAAGCATGACTCACCATATGCTTAGCTGTACACCCCTTCCAGCAGTCTCTCATAGTGCAGCAACTACTGCCAAGGCTGCAGCACAACCTGGAAGGTGATGGTGTTTCTGGAAT